TGCTTATCTGGTTTAGTATCTCATAAAAAGAAACTAATTTTAAACATTGTCATTTTGAGTGTTAAAGAAAAGAGGTAAACTTGTGTCCGGCTGTTATACAGATTTAATAAAAATCCAACAGTGCTTTAAAAATAACATAAAAAGACAACTATTACAAAAATTGTTTCATTTTTACATTTGCAAGTGTTGAGTGTGTGTGTGTGTGTGTGTGTGTGTGTGTGTGTGTGTGTGTGTGTGTGTGTGTGTGTGTATTTGTGTGTGTGTGCGTGCAGAGGCGAAGCGTCTATATAATCAAATAATCACTGCTTCCCTTCCTAATTTTGAAACATTGTCGCAGTCAAATTCACCCATAAAAGCAAACCTCATAAATTAAATGTAAAAAGACGTTCATTATCACCAATGAACAATAGACTATGCCTAACCTTCAAAACCGTTTAATTGCCACAGAAATAGCCTGTTCGCCCCTATCGGGCCACTCCATAAGCAGTCACAAGCTTTGATTAAGTAAGCTTAAAGTGAGGCTGGAAGAGTCAACCAATAGAAATGAAGGGAACATGTGCATAGCAGTCAGAACTGTTTCATTGTCGCATATACCCTGTTCACCCCTTTCGGGCCACAGTTATAAGCACCCAGACGCGCTGATTAAGTAAGCGAACTATTACACTGGTCGAGTCTACCTCACAGATGTGAGGGGAACTAACTCCTAATAATTCTTTGACTCCTGCTACTACACTGCTAGTGCTTGGGTTTTTTTCCTCGACTTTTTAACGTCCTATAATCAGATCGTGACCTCGATTATGACACCGGCTCCTGGCCGCGAAAAGCTAGACAAAAAACAGCCAAATGTGAAATTTAAAAAAATAATAATTGGCTGGCATGCTCTACCAAAGTGTTTCGGCTGTCTGGTATAACATGCCATCGTAGTGCTGACATCTCTGCTTCTTTCCTTGGTGTTCGTGTGTTCAAATCTAAAGTTAAATTTAAGGTTAGTTAGAATAAATATTTAATGAAATACTTTCCCGATTATTTTAGCGGTTGAACAAGCATACAACATGAATTCAGGATTTGTTTTCATTCACAATTCAGAGTTGCCGCCTCCAGAGCCAGTAAGATTCTTGTGACTTGTGTGAGTGTGATATCTCCAGGCCCTATCTGGTCCCATTTCACTTTGATTACCCTGTCAAACAAGTCAGCCTTCACCCCTGTGTGCTTGTGTCTGCGCGCGCGTGTGTGTGCGTGTGTATGCATATGTATGTGCGTGTGTATGCATATGTATGTGCGTATACGAGTGTGTGTGTGTGTGTTCGTGTGCGTGTGTATGAGTCTGTTTGTACGTGTGTGAGATAGATAGATAGATAGATATAGATATATAGATAGATAGATAGATAGATAGATAGATAGATAGATAGATAGATAGATAGATAGATAAATAGATAGATAAATAGACAGAGAGATAGAGAGACAGACAGACAGAAAAAAGACAAAGACAGACAGAGACACAGAGAGGGAGGGGGTACGTGAGTCTACATCCCGTGCGCGCGCGTGCTTGTGTGTGTGTGTGTGTGTGTGTGTGTGTGTGTGTGTGTGTGTGTGTGTGTGTGTGCTTGTGTATGTGTGTATGTGTGTGTGTGAGTGAGTGTGTGTGTGTGTGTAGGTGTGTGTGTGCGTGTATGTGTGTGTGTGTGTGTGTATGTGTGTGTAAGATAGAAGGATTAATAGGTGTACAGATCGTAGCTTTGTAATTCGTATTGTTTAATTTCAACTTCCCCATTCTGCATTTAATCTGACAATGACGGATTTGCTTTGTCTAGTGTTTACATTTGAGCTTTCCCATGTTTATATTTTAGTTGGCATCTGCTTACATTTTCCATTGTGTTGAATTTCTACTGTCTACACACACACACACACACACACACACACACACACACTCACACACACACACACACACACACACACACACACACACACACACACACACACAAACTGACACTTACATAGCAGACGCACACATACGAAGTCATTTGATGATTTGACGAAATTGTCATTTTTGAACATCTGACATTCGTGGTGCGACTTGTCAAATAGATATTTCTAAAACTACCTAACATTGGCTCTCCAGCTTTTGCACAATTACCTTTTTCTCAAATTGTCTTAACAGATTAATATTTGGGTGACCTTATTTAGGCCACATATGGCCTAAATAAGCTAAACCCCCCTCACTTACTTTATTTGGGCCACAGGTGGCCTA